CCATCCTGATCAAAATACCAAAGGATTTTTCACATTGCTGGAACGAAGAATCCTAAATTTCTATGGAACCAGAAAAGACCCCGAATTGCCAAGGAAATGTTGAAAAAGAAAAACAAAGCAGGGGCATCATGTTGCCGGATTTCGAGCTATATTACAAAGCTGTGATCACCAAGACAGCATGGTACTGGCACAAAAACAGACACATAGACCAGGGAACAGAGTAGAGAGCCCAGACATGGACCCTCAACTCTATGGTCAACTAATCTTTGACAAGCAGGAAAAAATATCCAGTGGAAAAAAGACAGTCTCTTCAATAAAAGGTGCTAGGAAAACTGGACAGCTATATACAGAAGAAACTCGACCATCCTCTTACACCATACTAATAAGGACTTTCTAAAACTGCACTTGCTTACTTTTCAGTGCTTCTGGAAAATAGCACCCCAGGGAGGTATGGAACCCAAATGTAGAATTTCTGCTTTAGTGGACACTATTACTGATGGGTATGGATCAAATGGCTTAAGTTGATGGAAAGTAAAAACAAACTGTGAATTATCAGCACAGTTCATAAACACCTAGAAATAAAGAAGGAAACATGAGGATACAACATGATTTAACTTTTAACAGAAAGTCAGACCAAGCCTCTCACTTCCTTTTCTGAGTGCACTAACAGACTGTTAGACCAGGAGAGCTGGCAAGAGCAGTGATTTTGTCTTGTGGAGAATGAGTGAGGGAGCTGTCCAGAAGGAGGAAGAAAGATGATTGAGTAAAATTAAGGGTCTAACTGATGTTGAAAGTCAGGGACGGCGCTGATATGCCCTCTTGGGTGATGTTCTCCCTCAGCTCTGAAAAGCAAGAATATTAGGACCTGAAAATGTGGTATTCACATTCACTCTTTTTCGGAGATCTGCCCAGTGTGTATGGCAGACAGACCCAGGGACAAAGACCTTGTAGTTCTCAGCAATAGGACTGACGTGATAAGCTTGGTGCACAAGGTTAACTGGGAAGAGAAAGGGCACAAGGAGAAGACTGGGGGACTGAAATCATTGGGGGACACGTACAGACCAGCAGCTGCTGTCCTGTTGGAGACAAGAGCTGGTTGGGAGAAATCACAGCATGGGTGACATGGCGGGGTTAAGGGTTATGGTCCTGTAGTGAGGTGATCATTTTTCATGTGTGTTTCCTGAAGAGAAATTAGACACTCCTGACAATGACTACTTGTGGGTCAGCCTCAGAAGTTCAGCCTTGAGACTTTTAGAGGCAGAAGAAGACAGAAAATTGCTTGTTAAATTACCCCTGAAAGTCAGTCTTTCTTCCTCAGAAGTGTTGGAAGTTTTGTGATTAGGGCATTATGGGACTTGGTCTGATCAGCTTAGTATCTCATACGTTTTTAATTCTCATTTGGGATTTTTAAATACTCCATAAGACAGCAAAACAAACTTGTCTTTTTTTTTTAAAAAACAATATAATTAAAAGAGACAGGCTTGAGAAGACCTAAAGATGGGTCACGCTGGGCCTTGCCGAAATATGGAATCACACTATGAAGTGAATCCCGTTAATTCCAGCACCTGAGAATCAGGCTTACAATGAGAAGTTCTCGAAGTCTGCAGGCCACTGGACAGGACTGTAAAATGGAATCTGTTATTAGTACACATTCAAACGAAGGCTTTTTTGAAGTTGGGCAATTTCTAGCTTTTTCTCGACAGGCCAGGTCCCTCTCGACAGTTTTCTTTAGTGTTTCATAAAATTTCACCGAGACCTTTGATATAATATCCATCTCTCTTAACTGTAAATACATATTTCTTCTCTACTGCAAGGCCTCTTGTGTCATTTCCATATGTGGTATCCAAGCTTCCTCTTTGCCCGACAGCTCTGTAAAGTTCACAAGAGACCTAAGAACTTGGCTTAACTAGCAGGTAAACAGAATTGTTCCTTTTAAAGAACTGTTGGATTTATTTAAGTCATCGTGTTTTGATGAATGTACTCTTTTTAGTATCATCTCTGCTTATCACAGGGATATAAATCAAAACTGGACAAGACATCTGGAAACATCTGGCCCCTTCCAAAGCAATAACACAGTCATGTATTTCCCAACATACTACATAGATTCTTCCAATCATTTTGGATCTTACACATTAAAAATCCTCAAGAGGGGCTTCTGGTTTGATTTTTTAATATTTTATTTTCCCTAGAGAAAATATGCACTAGATATGCACATTTTTATTTTATAATCCCTTATCACATTCTATTTTTTTTTTTTAAACATCTGCCTCCTTACTAGGTTAGCACTCCAAGGAAAGAAAGGTGTATTCATCTCTGGAATGCCCATGTAGAGCTAAGAATAGATGCTGGGACTCTAGTCTGTAGAAACAAGAGGACCAGTGGGTGAGTAGTTTTGTTTGAGAAGATGAATTATAGTATTGTTAAGATGGTTGCAAGCTGGAACTAACCTGAATGTACATTGCCTGGGGAATAATAGAAAAAGTTATGGTAAATCTAGATAAGGGACTATCATTTAGTTTTGAAAAAGAATGAGCTCAAGCTACACCCACTGACTCAGAGGGAGGTCCATGATATATTGTTGATGATAAAAGCAACAAACAAAAGCACAGACTGGGATTCCAAACTGTAAAAGTGAACAGTGGGACCCTGTACAGAATGCATGTGTGCTTGGCTGTCAAGGGACATTGGCTAGGTTGTAACAGGGGTTACTGTGAGGATGAGGAGAAAGTTGAGAGAGTAGGGAACAAGATAAAAATATCGCTAGCATGTGTTGTGATGAGCACTGGGTGTTACACACAACTAATAAATCGTTGAGCACTACATCAAAAACTAACGATGTATTATATGTTGGCTAACTGAACATAATTTAAGAAAATACTGCCAGCAAAATGCAAAATTACTCATGCCATAATGCAAAGGGAAAAGGTAGAATGCATGTTTTTGGTAGTAGTTTTTTAAAAGAAAAGGTGACCTTTAGTGAGAGTTCACTGATCAATGTCAGACAAGCTTCTCAAGGCTTTCTACAAGACTATTTCAACTGTGCGCACCAACCCTGTGAGGTAGGAACTGTTATTTCCCTCATGTCCCAGGTGAAGAAACTGTGGCCCAGAGAAGTTATGAATTGATCCATGGTGGCACAATAAGTGGCAAAGCTAAGAAAAACAAAATAGGGGAAAAAAAAGAAATTGCATTTTTTCCTAGAAATTAACCTGATCAAATGAAAACAATCAATTTAGTTAGGTGACAGAATTATGAGTTATTTTGTTTTGAATTTTTGCTATTATTTAATATTTAATTTTTCTTTGAAATAAAGTAAATATTTTTTAAATAGGAAAAAAAGTGGCATGATTTTTTTTTTAAGATTTTATTTATTTATTTGACAGACAGAGATCACAAGTAGGCAGAGAGGCAGGCAGAGAGAGAGGGGGAAGCAGGCTCCCCGCTGAGCAGAAAGCCTGACATGGGGCTCGATCCCAGGATACTGAGATCATGACCTGAGCTGAAGGCAGAGGCTTTAACCCACAGAGCCACCCAGGCACCCCAGCATGATAGTTTTTAAAACCTGCCCTCCTGGGGGTGCCTGGGTGGCTCAGTGGGTTAAGCCTCTGCCTTTGGCTCAGGTCATGATCCCAGGGTCCTGGGATCGAGCCCTGAATTGGGCTCTCTGCTTAGCGAGCAGCCTGCTTCCCCTCTCTCTCTGCCTGCCTCTCTGCCTACTTGTGATCTCTGTCTGTCAAATAAATAAATAAAATCTTTATAATAATAACAAATTTAAATTTATTTAAAATTCAAATTATTTATTTAAAATTAAAAATAAATAAATAAATTTAAAATTAAATTAAAAAGAAAAAATAAAACCTGCCCTCAAATCCTCCTCTTACTGAGAGGAGATTTTTTTTTTTTCTTCACTTTAGATCTGGGTTAGGCTTGTGAGGGCTCTGACCAGCCACGCAGGAGAGGCACCATGTGGGTGTCCGGAGGCCAGGTCTCCCTTTTGGAGAAGCTGGTTCTGGGGGATGCCAACCGCCATGGTGTACTAAGGCCCTAGTCAACAGGCAGCACTGACCGCCTGACTTGAGATGGTTCCCGTCTTCAGCCTTAGAATCTTCCAGCTGAGGCCCCAGACATTGCTGATCACAGACAAACTGCACCAGCTGTGTCGTGTCCAAATGTCTGACCCCCAGATTCTTGTGGGAACATACTAAATGTCTGGGATTTTTTTGTTTATTATTGCAATTGTTTGGTTTGGTTTTAGTTGTTGTTGTTGTTCCAAAAGTACAACAGATGGCAGGAATGGGAGAGGACCTTCTACAGTGATGGTTGTCAATATAAGGTAGGTTTGCCCTTTGTCTTATTTTTCTGCTTCCTTTAGGCATATTGTAAAAATTTATTTTATATGCCAATGTGGCTGTACCATGGCGCCCAAATATTTGGTCAAACACTATTCTAGATGCTTCTGTGAAGGTGTTTTTTGAGCTAGATAAACATTTAAACTGGTGGATTTTGAATAAATAAGATTAACCTCCACAATATGGTTATCCTCATCCCATATATGGGAGACCTGAAGAGACAGAGACTAACCTCTCCTGAGCAAGAAGAAATTCTGCCAGCAGATGGCCTTTGGGCCCCAACGGCAACTCTCCAAGTCTCCAGGATGTGGATTGACACCATTAGATTTGGACTCACCAGCACCCCCCATTCACCCTTCCTCTCTTACTGGTCTCTTGTTTTCTGGAAAACCCTAATACACATACAGTGGGACCTTTAATTCTGCTTCTCAAAGTCCTCTTCCTTCCTCTTCAGGAAAAAATCATAATCCAATAAATAGCCCATACATAGGATGACAACATCAAGAATAGAAAAACTTAAGCAGATAAAGGAAGTAGATCAACTGTGGCTTTTGCATTGAAGTGGCTTCAAAAATGACACATGTCTCTAAGAATGCCCAAGGGACAAAATGATCAAATCCAGGCAAAGTCAAAGGACAAAGTGTAGCTTACCCCTCGAAGCAGTGGGCAACTGTCAGGACCCACTTCCTGGCAATGAGGACACAGCCACAAATATGTCCACTGGGTTCACTCTGCAGGGAACACTGCCATGGCCACCTTCCAGGGCGACTGGTCCGACCCCCAAGGATCCTCTTGTTCATTCGGGCCGCAGGGCGGCGCCCACAGTCTATCAAGGAACCGGAAAGACAATGTGGGATTCACTGCCAAACCCAGCGCCAAACTTGGATCTTTGTTGTTAAGTGCAAGTTTCTGTTTTTTCCCCTGAGCCAATCCAGTTAAGTTCATACTCCATTGCTACACCACTAATTCTCTTACCTTGTTTAGTACACAGAAGAGAAATCTTACTTCTGCTATGACAAGCCTGCCTAGATTTGGAAACATAAAATGGCATAATGTTAAGCTATATATTTATCATTCACTTCAAACACTTTACCAGTGAAAAACAAGACATAGGTTCAACAGTTCCCAGAGGACATATTCTTCGAGTAACGATTATCTGTACTTCGTGCAGAAATTCTTGAGACAGAGCTATTGTCAAATACCATCTTGGAAATAAGGGTATATGGAAGATGTGTACATTTTTTTAGTTTATTTAATATCATCATAATATAATTTCACCTGGGTGGGAAAAGAAACTACTGTTAGCAAAGTCTCCCACCTCATCTTGGCTGGTAGCACCACCCAAAATATTGACTCAAACCATGATTTTTCAAAGTAGCAAGAAGAAGGTGAGGGAATTAGGCTGCTTCTTAGAATCCTTGGTGAGGAAGGAGCATGTCAGATTTTTATGCTCACAGGGAGGGTGTGGATGTCCAAACGTATTTACAAGAAATCTGACAGAAAATATTACTTCAAAAGTTAGAAAACAGATAAAGGAATTAAATTTTAGACTGGGAAAGAATCTTGATGAGACTTGTGATATTAAAATGTGGATCTATGATTGGCTGACAGAAAGAAGGGGGGTTAAATTTATTTCATGTACTCTAGATGCTGGGATCAGAACCACTCAGTAAAACTTAACAGGAAGTAACTTCAAGAAAGAAAGACCCTTCTAAAAATCATAGTTAACCTTTCAAGGTTAAGAACACGGGCCATGTTTAAACATCTATCAATGTGGCTGCACAAGAGAACTCACTTCAGGGTTCATTAAATTTCAATCACAAAGTTCTCTTTCAATCACAAAGCATTTATTCACAGTATAAATTTAAAAAACAAAAGACACTTCAGGACTGTCAAAAATACTACAATGCACTTAGAATCCTAGATTTCTCAGGAAAAAAAAAAATCCCTAAATATGTCATGTCCACATTCCTTTTTGAGGATTTATTTTAATTTCATTTCTTGCTAAATCTGCATGGAGGCATGTGTAATTATTTGTATCAATAAATTATATAATACAGGAAAAGCATGTCTGCTTTTTGCCTTCCCACAACCTAAAGTCCTGTTTCCTCCTTACTCTATCTTGTTATCCTTAATTTCGTTGTGGTATTTCCAAATATCTGAAATTCATTTTGTTTACTAGCTTATGGTCTCTCTGTCCACCTATACAGTATAGATTCCTTGAGACGAGGGCCCTTGTCCCCCTCATTCCCTCCTACAACCCCTCACAACCTAGCACTGAACCTGGCAGAAAAGAGATGATCAATAATTAGTTATTTGTTAGATCCCAAAATCACAACTTGTAGAAATAGGAAAAAACAGCAATAGCTATTTGTACCAATTTTTTTATAGGAAATTGTGGTTATATAGGATCACAAATCTAGTTAGAAAGCCAGAAGTACAACCAGTTCTACCAACTCCCAATTTACAATGAAATGCACATATGTATGTTATCTATTAAGCTTAAAAGGTCTTTTCTGGCATTTGCAATTTGCGGAAACAAATCACTCTGTTGAAAGATTCAGGTCCTTGTTTTCAAAGAAGTACTTCAGAAATTTGGCTGCAGTTTGGTCTATGGGGAAATTTTCAGGACATTTTAAAGAGAAAAGGCCTACCTTTTGATTTCTTCTTTGAAATTCTTAAGTGGTTTATCTAGCACTTATTAAAAGCTCTGGAGTCAGATTAACTTGGTTTGAGTTGAGAGCCCGTTGTGGGCTCTGAGTTTTGATCAAGTTATTTAAATATTCTGTAGCTACGACCCTATAATGTAATAACCACTAAATAGGTGTTAATTCCTTCAATTTCCCTCCATACCCCCATATCCCCATCCATGGACAAGAAAGACAGCCTTGTTCAAGGTTTCATGATTTTTTTTAGGGACAATTTTCAGAAGTATACTTGCAAAGCTACTTGATTATAACTTCATTTTGTGTCAGTTTTCCCCCTCAGACTGTCCAAGTTTGACCAGTTCTCATTACTTCAATTCCCTGCTAACTAGCTCATGTAGCAACTGTACGAACTGCAGATAGGATACGAACTGCAGATAGGAGAATCTACTTTGAATAGGATGTGGAAAAAACTCCAAAATTAGAACCCAAGTTCCTCTTCCTTCCCCATGATAGTTTCTGTAATTGTCAAAAAAAAAACCAAACAGATAGTTAGTAAGAGAAAAAATGATCTATGTCTAGAAAGAAGAGATAAAGCCAAACAGTGTTGAAATATAAAGGCAAATCACCATTCGATGGAAGTTCTTTATTGACTTGATAAATGTGGATTATCTTAAATTAGAAACAGGAGGAGGTCCCTGATGATAGACTTTTGCTCCATAATCCACTCTGCACAGCTCTTGTGCAAGGGGTCTTACCCTTTTACCAGTAGTTCATGCAAAGTGGTCCCATTGAGGCTCTCCCAGCTGGAGTGTAATGTCAGCCACAGCTGGTCTTGCTCCTGTTCCTGTACCAGTTCCGTCACAGATGGTTCTCTAATATAAGGACAAGTAAGAATGACATATTCAAAGTACAGTGATCTTTGACCAGACAATTTCATTCCTTAGTACTCACTGTCTCTCAGAAAAAGCATTGCATTATAAGTCAATATTCAAAGAGGGAAATGTGGCATGGAATGTGATCAGCAAGAGAGGAAGCTCCTATAAGTATACTAAAGCAATAAAGATCGAAATGGTTACAGCAATTGTAATCATTCTCTCCATGTCAGAACTTCATGAGGTGTTAGAATTCTAATGTATATGACGTGAAATTTCCAATATCTTAAAAATGAGAGCAACTTTGGGCAGAAATGACAAAAAGGAGAATAGTTTATCTGCCTGGGATTTTTTCCCTCCTCTTTTCTTGCAGTGCAGCAATACCTTAAAGTAAATAAACTAAAAAATAATAATAATAAGTATAGAAAATTGATGGCCACTTAGTGTCTATTTGGACAGTATAAAATTATAATGAAGTTTTTCAACATACTGCAAAATCTTCATGTACTAAAAATTAAGAAAAAACTCTAGAAAATAGAGATGGGAATTAACATTATTTTGCTCTTACCTATATTCTTAGTCAACTTCTATCAATATTTTCCTGTGAATGTCTCATTCAATCATTCAAATAAATACGGTTACACTGTATCCAAGATTTAAAACCTTAAGTTTCAAAAGTATTCAGGTTTTGTGTAAAATATTCTATTCTAAATGAAATAATTGGTTCTTTTAGGCAATCCATATTTGCAGGAAACCATTTGGACTGTCATCACCTAACGCCCAAGGGTAAGAGAGGTGGAGGAATTAATTTAGATAAGAAGAAAGAAAGTTGCCTCCAATCCTGGAAGGAAAGTTGTATTTTGCTGAAGCTGGAGGGGGGTAAAGAATTCAAATCAGATAGCCTCTATCTTTCTTCTCAAGTAAAAGGTAAGCTCCTTTGATGAAAGTTGGGGTGGCGAGTTGACGAGAAAAGTGACATGTATATGGATTCATTCCCTGGTGGAAATGTTTGGAGAAATGTATCAAGGATGAATGAGAAGATAAACGTAGAGGAAGGGAAGGAAAAATAAAATAAAATGAAAACAGGTAAACCACAAGAGACTCTTAACTCTAGGAAACAAACTGAGGGTTGCTGGAGGGCTGGTGGGTGGGAGATGGGGTAACTGAGTGATGGACATTAAGGAGGGCACTTGATGGAATGAGCACTGGGTGTTATAAGCAACTGATGAATCACTAAATTCTACCCCTGCAACTAATAATACATTGTATGCTAACTAGATCGAATTCAAATTTTAAAAAGTTTTTAAAGGCATCACATAGAATTTCCTAAGAGAAATACAGGTTATTCATGTATTCAACTACATACTTATAATCTAAATTTTGCCATCTTGTCAATGAGTTATGACACCCGCCCTCTCCCCAAAAAAAAGATAAGTGAGAAGAATGGCAGCACTCAGAGCTCAAATGAACCTGGAAATCCTGAAGTTGTAGTAGCATCAAGTTTGCAGGCTTAGTGACTTTTCTTTCCAATAACGGGATGCCATTTTTCAAAAAAAAAAAGGGAGGGGGCAGGGTAGGTGGGAAGGCACAGGAAGGGAAGCAAGGTTAGACTCCACAGCATTGAAAGAAAAATGAACATTTCAGCTGATTATTAATTTAAAACTATTGTAATCTCATAATAGAAAACAAAGGAACCAAACCTTCCCCAAATCCTGTTACTTATAAAAGAGGAAAGCCTCTAAAGAGAACACTTGATGACAGAGTAGCCAAAGAAAAAACAAGGCAACGCCCTTCATGAATGCAGTCTAACCATTTGATTTTAAGACACAGAGCATGAACCCTGACCACACTGTAAGAAGAGTTCCACAAGACAGAAATGTATTCAGGAACTTGAATGAACGGTGGGACGACTGAAGACTTCACAAAACCTGCTGCAAAATGAAAAGTTCTGTTTCCCTGACCAAAATGAGAGTCTGGCTTTCTGTCAGTCTCAGAATTTTTGTGTGTGGAGACATAGGTGAGAGGAAAGCGATTAAAAGTCAGACAGAGGTCACAAACACCACCGACGGTGTTTCTCCTGATACCTGCATCCTGAGAATTCCTTTCTACCGTCGAAGAGCTTGAGGGCCTCCTAAATCCAGGCACTTGGCCAAAAGCCAAAGGAAGATAGATCTGTTGTTTAATTAAGTCATTCTTGAAGTGGGTATTTATAGGGCAAAAGGGACTCGCACAAGGAAGTCTGTTCAGCGTAGGATTTGCCCGATGGTGGACAGAAAAATCATGGCAAAAGACACTTCAGTCTTTCAACCCACAAGGCACCTTCAGTTGCCCTGAGAAAGGTCTCCACAGACCATTGCACCTGGGATGTTTCTGCATTTCATTCATTAACCTCCAACAAGAAAGGCGATTTAGTCTGAATCTTTTAGTTATGTCAAGTGGAAAATACAAGAAATTCATCATCAAGAACAGGGGAATGTCATTATAAAAATTAGTTTTCCATGAAATTCTTAAGCCCTAGAATGCTTCTCACGCACAAAAATAAATCTTTCAGCACCATTCAGTACCATTCTATGGCTCATTAAAAAAATATCAGTGAATCCATATGGCTCTATTTCTGCCATCTTACAGGATCTGAGCATCTGCATGATTTCCTTCTTATTTTTCTTTAAATAATTTTTAAGGTTATAAAAGTAATACTTACATACGGAAAAAAAAGAACAAAAATTATACGATGAAAAAATATTCTTCCCATCTCAGATGTGTAGAAATGACCACCGTAAAATGAGAGTGTCCTTGCCAAGCTCTAGCTATAATTCACATATACATCCTCTTTTTTTTTAGTCTATACTCATTGTATTGATATATATTTTTTTAGTGATTTGTCTTGGAAGTTTTTCCATAATAATAGTTGACATTTGTCAGCTGCACTGAAAGACGAACTCATTTCACCTTATTTAATCCTCTCAACAATGCTGGAAAGAAGGCGTTATTAATCCCTATTTTGGAGATGAAAAAATTGAGGCAATAAGAGAGTAAGTAACTGGCCCAAAGTCACATAGTGAGTAGATGACTTGTAGTCTGAGGCCAGGGTACCACTCCTAACACTTTGAACACCACATGGTCCCCCTTCATTACCAGCACACTCTCTGTTCCTTTTATAGCTCCCGAGTGTTAACTATTATATGGCTGTACCTACACTTACTTAGCCAATCCACTATTGATGCACATGTAGGTTATTTCTAATTCTTATTATAACAAAAAAGCAGCAGTTAACACTCCTAACTATTCACCTCTGCCTACATTCATAATTTTGTAGAAATAAAAATAATTTCCTGAAAATAAAAATAATTTCCCATAAATAAAAATATCAAATCAAAATTTATTTTTTTAATTTAATTTTGATCAAATTTTGATCAAAAAGTTCTGATCAAATTATTTTACTTAATTTTGATCAATATTTTGAAAGACTAATGCCAGTTTACATATCATCAAGAATATATGTGTATGTGGTTTTAAATTTTATAACTATGTATATATTTAAATCATGCTATGAAAAGGTATCCGGAACTTAGCGGCTCAAATTTTGTTTGACAATTGGTATGCATTTGACTTATCTTTTTCCATATTTTACAAAATTAAAGAAATCCTGTTGGGTAGAGAGCAGAAGAACAATAAACATTTTAGCAGTGACTGGGCATCAAGGTCACTGTATCCTAAGAACGTGTGTGCAGGCATGATGTGATGAGCACTGGGTGTTATACACTTGAACTCTACATCTGAAACTAATGGTGTGTTGGCTAGTTGAATTTAAATAAAAAATAAATAAAAAGACAAGCCCAGCTGGGGGGAAAAAGTGTGTGCAGGAATAAAATCAGATCTAAACACTTCTATAGTAGCGATGAAATCATATACAGAGAAGGAAATGAAGGAACAATCTAATCCAATGCCTTCATTTGACAGCCTGAGAAAATTGGGACAGAGATACAGACCCACCCCAAACATTTGTGGGACCAAACATTTGTGAGTAAGGGTAAAAATGGAGGCCCAATACCATATGTCAACATATTTAGACGTTATAAATCAAGTTAACAAGTTGTTAAAGAAAATGTATTCTAATCTCCCCATCTTGACAACATGTATCTTTTAGGTTCAAATACAGCATTTTGGACTCCTTGGAACAGTGATTTTCAAACTTTGGCATTCATCAGAATCACTGGAAGGGCCTATTACAACAAAGCTTGTTGGCCCCATCCCCAGATTCGCTAGGTCTGAGGTCCTCAAAGCAATCTTTCTAACAAGATCCCAGGTGATGCTGCTGCTGGGGTCTGGGACTACACTTCGAGAGCATTGCTCTAGATCATTGACCAGGCACCCGGTGGCCTAACTCCTTGGCGGACAGACTCCTTGCCCCCTGGGGTGAGGCATGGCCGGGGAGAAAGGCCATAGTGGTCCCTCTATATTAGGGTTTCTCATCCTTGGCACTACTGACATTTTACACCAGATAATTATTTACTGTGTGAGGCTGTCTTGAGCTCTGTAGGACGTTCAGCATCACCCCCACTGCTACCCACTAGATGCTAGCAGCCACCCCAGCGCTCCTGGACTGATAATTAAAAAGGTCTTATGAACATTTCCAAATAACCCCTAAAGGGCAAAGTTAAGCCTGGTGGAGAACCACTGCTCTAAATCATGGCGCCCAGGGCAAGACCCCCACCACTCTGGGACTAAAGGCAACACAACAGAGAAAAGCAAAAGGGTTTGCAAATTTGCTTCTTGAATCACGTGGCCATAAGACATATAGAATAATTGAATGTATGATTCAATTATTGAATATGAAAAAGAATGTATGATTCTTCCTCTGTCCCGGAAATGAGAAGATAGAACTTATCCAGAATTCTAAAACATCCTGATATTCTGAAAGGAAGGATACGTTTCAAGGCTTAGGAAAGCAACCAGATCTCTAGACAGCTGACCTATCCTTTGCCTACTCTTGATCAAGA